AATAACAGAAAGATAACATTTATTAAGAGCTAAAAGGGACAGGAAGTCGTGGAGAATCATGATCACCTACATCCTGGGAGAACACAGCACTTAAAGAAGAAGTCACTACACGAAGCAGATGGTTAAATACCTGTAATGTGTTGATTTTGACGTACCCTTTACACGACTCACATCTAGGATTGTCTCGTTGACAGTGAATTCGTTATTATATGTAATACCACTGCCGGCTTCATTCTGCTACTGGCGACATCTTTAAAATGACTCCATCTAATTTGACCAGAATGTTAAGCGTAGTAAGCAGAAATCTAAAATGAAATTGTCTCCCGACCTCGAACCTCAGCCTCTGGCCATTATATACAGGTAAAATCAAATTATGGAGTATATTAAAGATTTTGCCAAAGTGCCGTTAGCCAACACAACGTAATAACACAGTGGAAATTCCGAAGATTTTACAAATATTCGGTAGATGGGATGAAGGAATGCAGTCTTTGATCTGAAGTGGTACACGTATTAATAATTGAATTGAAAAGATTTCATCTTAGAAACTCAGATAAATTAAAAGTGTCACTACATCGGATTAATCAATAAATAATAATAAAATGAGGCGTGGAATAAGCAGAAACGAGGGCAATGAAAGAAAGATTAATGAGAAGAAATCGCTTTGATAGCCAGAAGCATCTATAGCTACTACCGTTCAGGTATTGCTATATGGTGTTGCGCGCTCCCAGTGTCGAAAGGAACGTAGTTCTGGTGTTTCGCTGTTTAGCTAGACCAGTGGTTTTCAACTTTTTAAAAAATTCAGGGTGCACCTCTAGAATAATTAAAACTCTGGGACGCTCTTTAAATTTTAATAAGGAAAAATTAGTCATGAAATTTAAAAATAGGAAAATTAGAAAGAAGTCTCCTGAAATAAGCATTTATTTTAAGACATTACGTTGTATATTTAATCAGGACTCAGCTAAACGTTTGAAGATCTTTTTTTTTTCTTTCAGTATCAGTTATGTGCCATGCATGATATACGCTTAAGCAATCATGAATTTTTCGATACATAACTGACTAGGCAGATTTTTTACCGCAGTAGGTTGCCATTTCTTTCTGCGGTAGACCAGTTGCCATCCAAGGCTAAAAAAAAATCGGTCTGGCCTGCCATTTAATCATAGCTGGAGGGAGGAGAAGCACGTCAGTGAGTGGATTCGACATCGGCTCTCCGATTCCTCAACCCGAGCCGCTACCCATTACTCCACTGGGCCTCTTTTTATTATAGCATGTGTAAAATGGACAAAATTTATGAAGAATCTGCTATTTAGTTTTAGAGAGGCCGATAATTACAGATTTAATTCCCTTGAAGAAGGCAAAAGGGAAAGGATTATCCAATAGATTTAACATCTATTTTAAAACATCAAATAACAAAGATTTTACTTAGACATGGAAGCAATATGTTTGGTTTGTCTAACTTTTTAAAAAATAAAGATTTTTTAAATTTAAAAATAATTCATAAATTACTTTTCTGTTAACTTAGTGCGGAACTGGGTACATTGCAGGGCGCAATAGTGCGCCCGGGCGCACCGGTTAAGAAACGCTCATCGAGACGATTGAAGAGATCAAACAAAAACGTTGAAACAAAAAGTTTATTTTTAATTAAATCTGGTTTTACCTTCCTTTCCTTCTTTTTTCTCTATTTCTTTTTCTTTCTTTCTTTTTTCTTCCTTTCTTTTTTTTTTTTTTTTTTTCATTCTCTATTTTAAAAAAAATAATGGCTCTAGAAATATCAACGTCTTGTACATTATTTACATTATTCGGACTATTGTCCTCATCTTTGTCGCCATATTTATCACAACGTTTCGGCCGTTGTACGCTCCGGCATTCTTCAGGTGGTTGGAATTTGGAACTGAACCCTTTATTTCGCTCACTGGGGTAGACTGTTCTAGTTCCACGTGCCATGTTTGATGGATGTCAGTTATCAGTTATCTCCTGTTAATTTCCCTCCGAAAGTTCTCCACTGCCTTAACCGGGTATTGAACTCACACATTTTAGGTCCTGTCACTGGATCTAACCAACGCCTTTATCCACTGTGCCATGTATCCTTGATCAACATCTTGTTCTATGTGCCATGTCCTTGCAGGACGTTGGTGATCTACGATTTCCTATCCTTTGTAGCTCTTAGTAAATTTTGTATCTTTCTCTTAAACCTCGTTCTGCTAAACACTTACACAAGCACGTTAGGTAGGTTATGCATTGCTTTTCTCTGTCCTCTTTGTATTCAATACATTCTGTGAGTGTTAAATTTTCCTAGCCTTCTTTCCTCATTATGTACCCTAGAATTTTCAACTGTCACTTTCTTATTTTAAGCATAAGTGTTTTTTCGTTTCCATTTTATCTAACCCAGCATCCCACTCCAATATCTTGCGAGTGTTGCAGATCGTTAGCAACTGTAGGATGAAAATTAAAACCTATCAAAGAAGGGAAAAACTCTTGACGAGTCAACAGCCGGCTAACTAAAGTCGCTGTCACCGTGGAGAAGGCAACGGGAAATGAATCCACTATCATTCTCAAGAATCTTCATGACTCGCAACATCTTGAAATATCCCGACAATATAGAACCTCAAATATAGTCTGTCAGAATTTCTGAGATAAGGAGTTACAATTATTTACACTATTTATTTTGTGATGTCAACGAACGCTCGTCGTTACTCTCGTAATGTCCATTGTAGTAGAGACTTTGTAATCGCAGTTACAGTTATAGTACACCGTTGCACAATACTAGTGTCAGACACCTTTCGAATATCACTCGCACTAATTGTACTTGCTCGATAATATTCGGTCGACAAGTTACCCGTATAGGGATCTGAATGGAGAAATAGTATAGGGAATAGAGTAAAAATAGCGATCCGAATAATAAGAGAGAATAGAGTAGAAATAACGATCCGTATAGTATAGAGGAGAGACTAGAAGCTACTTCCTACATATATGCGTTTCCTCTATGGTCATATGGTCTACTTAATTCAATAATGGGATCGCCTGTGTTTGTTCACTGGCAATCTATGTTCAAGCTCAAGTGTCGGCAGCGACATTTTATTCCTATATAACAATTTACATGCGGAATATTATCCTCATCATTGTTGTTGTTTTCAACAGCAAAGATAATGGATCAAATATACTATGTGTGAAATGGATAAAATTTAAATGAAAAATTTAATTACTCCTTGAAGTCTTACTAAGTGTAATTATTCTCATCCTAAAAATTAAGTAATGTTTAAATCCTAACATAGAAACTTTAGTAAAACCATATATATGCAATCATAAGATGATTCCTGAAACATTTATCCTCCAAAATCTGGGAATAAATTTATTGCTGAAATCATAATTTGGGTTTATTTTGCTTTACGGTATATCAACTCTTCAATGGGTTATTTAATGCCGACAAGATCTTTAGGAAAGTTTCGTAGGAACAGAATATGTATACTTTGTAAAAACTCAGTTTGTAGATGAGGTTTCATTGACGAATTTTTTGTCGAGAGTCAAATATATTCCTGGTATTTTTTCAAAAATGTATTACTGTTTTTTTTTTCTTTTTTTACTATAAAAATCTATTTTAATACTTTAATTGTGTTTTGAGCCAAGTTTGGAAGTTGCTCACAGATGGTACCCTAACAGGTGCTACCACACCGGGTCAGGGTGGACCTGGGAACAGCAGCAAATAAGAGTCGGTTCTACGTTCCTCAAAGCCTGCAATCAGAGGCCTTGCTGCCGGATGTAGTTTATTATCATACACAGGACGAGAAAACAATTGAAAATTCAGTAACATAGTCGTAAATGACAAAGTTTAAGTCGAAAGCCATTGTTTAAAATAACAATTCTTTTCAGTATTTTCTTTTTTCTTGTTAACTTTTTCAGTTTTTTCTTTTTAAGTATTATTTTTCATAGCTTATTCTTCTTATTCTTCATAGTTTATTCTTTCAAAAAAGTGCGTTTTTTTTTATTTATTTGATTCATCAAATCATGAAAAAATTATAAACTCAGTTTCCTTTACTGATATTTTAACTTCCTTATTCATTCGTTTTTTTTCTTTTTTCTTCCTTTTTTTCCCCCAAAAAATCCACTTATACTTTTCATGTTTTTTGTCTTTTTTGTTTGTTTTTCTTCTTGTTTGACTTTATCTCAATACCTTAATATTTTATTCTCGTCATCCTTTTTATTTTTCATTATTTTTCGTTTTCCTTTTTTTTTCTATATATTTTTTTAATAGGAAATCCATTTGTTCCGTTCATTCTTTTTCTTTATTCTTTCTTTTCTTCTTTTTTTTTACTTTCTTTCAATACCTGAATCTTTTATTCTCGTCATTCTTTTCATTTTTCATTCCTTTTCTTTTTCCTTTTCTTAATATCTTTTTCGAACTGGATATCCACCTATTCTCTTCATCCGTTTCTCTTTTACTACTTTTTCCTCTTCCCCTTTTTACCCTGTTTCAATACTAAAATCATTTATTCTTTACCTTTTTCTCTCAAGACGAAATCATCATATGCTCTTCAGCTGTTTCTTTTTGTCCCTTTTTTACTTCTTCCTTTTTCATTTTCTTTCAAGTCGTGACCCCCTTCGTATTCTTCCAAGCTCCTTTCATCCTGTTACTCCTTCTTCTCACTTTCTTTCGCTTCCATCGTTTCTGCATCTATTTTTTCTTTCCTTTTTTTTTCTGCCTGAAACGAATCTCCCGACTTCATTTCAGCCACTTCCTCTGCTGCCCTTCCCCACGTTCACAACCAATCACCATCCTCCCTTCTAAACCCCTTTTCCCGCCCTTTTTTTCCTCCCACCTTTCTCCTATTTTTCAGTCTTGATGCACTTATCACTCGAGATTTTGCCAGACTTGAAAGGAATACTTGTAAAAGCCGAAACGGTTTTAAGAAACAATAAGAAAATAGCATCAGAGAACCATTCCGTTCTATTAAAGACTGAATCGGACTTCGTCTCAAAGATTGGAACACGCAGATATTCTACAGCAGTCAACAGAAGAATTTAGAATATTTCGGAAATAAAAGCAAAAATGAAGATGGAAAAGTTCTTTGCTCGGGGAGTAGGCGGGTTATTCCAGCAGTGGGTTTATTTTTGCATTTGATGCAAGAAGAAGAGGCAGGGGAAATAAAAGAAGAAGGAAAAGACGAAAAATGAAAAGAAGAAAACCAAAAAAGAATGAAAGAAAAGAAAGAAAGACAGATGGGAAGAAAATGTAAGAAGATTTGAAAGAGTAGTGGAAGTAGGAAAAAGGCTAAAAAGGAAAAAGGGAGAAAGAGAAGGAATTTAAAAAAGAAAAAGAAAGGCTGAAGTTGCAAAAAAATCGAAAGAGAAAAATAAGAAAAATTCTGAAAAATGGTAAGACAGAAGAAGAGGAAGAAACAAAAACAAATAAGAAAAAAGAAAAAGTTAAACAATGAAGAAGAAAGAGAGTAAGTGAAAGGAAGAGAAGTAAGAAAATCAGAAAAAATCGAAGTAATAGTAGTAGGACTAGGAAGAAAAGAAGAAGGAAAAATGAACAATAGAAAAAGAATAGCAGAAAAATGGAAAAATAAGGAAAGAAAAGAATCGATAGAATAGAAGAAGAAAAAGGAAAAAGAAACAGAGGTAGAAAAAAAATAGTTGTAGAAGTAGAAAAAACAAAAAGAAAAGAAAAAGAAGAAATAGCGGTAGAAATGGAAAAAATGTAGAAGAAAAGAAGAAGAAAAAATAGAGGTAGAAATGGAAAAATATAGAAGGAAAAAAAAAGAAAAAGGGAGACGGAAATAGAAAAATATAGAAGGAAAAAAAAAAAAAAAAAGGAGACGGAAATAGAAAAATAAAGAAGGAAAAAAAAGAAAAAAGGGAGACGGAAATAGAAAAATATAGAAGGAAAAAAAAAAAAAAAAAGGGAGACGGAAATAGAAAAATATAGAAGGAAAAAAAAAAGAAAAAAGGGAGACGGAAATAGAAAAATATAGAAGGAAAAAAAAAAGAAAAAAGGGAGACGGAAATAGAAAAATATAGAAGAAAAAAGAAGAAATATATGAAGAAATAGAAGAAGATAGAAGAAGAAAAATAATAGAGGTCGAAATAAAAACAAAAGGAAAAATGAAAAAGAATAATATTAAAATGGTAAAATGAGAAAACAGAAGAAGTATAAAAATAAAAGAAAGACACATGAGAAGAAAAAAAAAAGAAAGAAAAAAAGCTTAAATTCATAAGATTGTTCCTTTTACTGCGGATCGATCCAAAACGAGTCAGCGTCGGCATCTTTGATGTCTTTCGCTTCGGATTCTGACGTCATACAACACGCCCACCCTGATACAAAGCAAAAATATTGCGTGCAAATCCATTTGTACCGAAAAGGAATAAATCCCAGACCTCTTGACTTTTCTCCTATGAATACTCTTTCCTTTAACTCTATTTTAATGAAAAATACATTAGTAACGCTATTACTGTAGGAACAGAATTCTTTTTTATATCATAGGAAGAATACTTTCAAACTAAAACGGCGGAAGACTAGATCTGCTTGTAGGGAACTAAGAAAAGAGAGTTTGCTAAATGGTAGACGTGACTGCTAACAGACCAATGGTTAAAGATCAAAGGAACCAGCAAAATAGAAAACTGACAAATTTTCAGAAAGTCTTGTGAAATGTGAGGGTCTGGACCGTTCCTAGGTTAACTGGTACATTAGAAATAGTGCCAAAGCCATTAGTGGCATGACACTTGGAAATTAAAACTCGTAGAAAGTCTGATGTCTTCAGTAGACTAAGAACGTAGCTGGAAGTTTGAGGGGACTTGCACAGACTCCACCATCAACCACCGACAGGGAAATCGATTGGAATTCGAACTCGACTCTCCGATTTCTCATTCCGAGCCGCTATCCATTACATCACTCGCACACCCTCGTTACTTTCACTTGCGTGTAAGTATCCTTGTGAAAGGTATCTCTTCTATCTCCCAGCTATGGGTTAAATATCAAGGCAGACAGGGATCTGTAGCCATGGTTGAATATACCAAACTAACTGTAAACCAGGCTAGGAGAATTTTGTATTATTCCATGCGGGGTTAAATAAATTCAAAAATCAAATAAAATCATAAACTTCTTAGCAATGGTCATACTCGTCTTTATTAAGACTTATATCACTATTATCTGCACACCCCAGCACCCACTTCCAGTTCTTACAATCTAATAAAAAATCTGGGTAATTATATATATATATATATATATATATATATATGTGTGTGTGTGTGTGTGTGTGTGTGTGTGTGTGTGTGTGTGTGAGGAGTAATATTTCTGCTGTGGGAACGAAGATAAAGTTTTAAACTAGCATATGGTTTGGCATGAAATACAAACAAAAGGCATATTTTTGCGGCTGCTCTTTTTCAGACAATGCAAAATTGTGTTCGGTCACCATTCAGTGTTGACTTCTTCTTCTTCTTCTTCTTCTTCTTCTTCTTCTTCTATGTGCCATGTCATTTATGGATGCGAGGCATCATGGCTCAACCACAATTTCCTATTCTTTGTAGTTTTTTGTCTTGTATTGTCTTTTTGGTAAATCTACCTGTCTTTATTTCTGAGATGAGGTATTGTAACTATTTATACTATTTACAGTGTTCCAACTGTTCTCCTCATCTTTGTTGTCAGATTCACGATGTTTCGGCCGTTGTAAGCTCCGATCTTCTTCAGGTAATACTTATTGCAATTTCGAACCGAACGCTTTATTTCGTCTACAGGTTGGCTGGAGTGTTAATTACACATACGATGTCTTTGGATGTCTCAGTTTTAGTTAATTCCCCAACGACACATGACCCAGTGAAAAAATTTGACAGGCGAATTATGCAAAATAGGAAAAGACGAAATTATTCGTACAGTAGAATATATCGTTTCAAATTGATTGATTGATTCGTGTAAGTATAAGTAATTTGCATAATTATTTTATCAGTGAAGCCTTCTAGATTATTTATTCAGTAGAATATTTGTAATAATTCCAGCAAAAAACATCACGTGATGCATAGAGTGTCACCATTGCTTTGAAGACAAAGGAGCTTGGCGTTGACATGAAACAGAGAAATATAAAATTCCACGGGAAATAGTTACAGTATATTTCAAAGCGGTTAGTTATCCCAAGATCTATGGTACAGTCCATTATAAAGTGGTTTAAACAGTTTAGCACGATAGAGAATCTCCTGGGCAAAGAAGAAAACCCAAATCCTCACCAAGAACAGGAAGAAAACTCTGTTGAGAGGTTAATCTAAACCCAAGTGTTGTTTTGAAAGACATCGTCAAAAGTTTGGATACGACGAATATCAGCCTAAGTACTCGCACAATACAACGTTGTTTGAATAGAAATGGGTTGTATAGAAATCGACCAGGACGAACCCCTCTTCACAAACATTGTCACATTGTTGCTTGGCTTAATTTTGACAAAACGTTCTTGGAGAAAAAAGAAAATGCTTTTGGGAACTATGGGGTGATGAAACAAAAATTGTTCTTTTTGGACATAATCGTACGTAGAAGATTTGGGGCAACCCACGACCCCCCCCCAACCCCCACCCCCAAAGAACGCAGTGGCAACATTAAAACATGGAGGCGGTTCGATGATGATTTGGAGTTGTTTTAGCTCGAGGGGCACTGAACAATTAATTGCAATACGAGGAATAATGAAATCTGCAGACTATATAAAAAGTATGAATGAAAATCTACAACTATCAGCGCAAAATCTTCATCAAGGTCGGCGATTTACTTTCTAGCATGATAATGATCCCAAACATACGTCTAAATCAATGACTACGTGGCTTCAAAAATATTACACATGGCCTTTAATGAGTCCTGACTTGAATCCTATTAAAAATCTATGGCAAGTATTGAAAATTTGAATAATTCGTCGGTCACCAAAAACCTTTAGGAATTAGAACGACTGAAGACTGAAAGAAAATCCCAGAAAAGAATTGTTCAAATATCATCAAAAACTCTAGAAAACGATAGCAGCAAGTGTTTATGCTATTGACTATTGTTATTGTAATAATTGTTCCTTTTTTCTATTTTTCATACTGTACGAATAATTTTGTCTTTTCCTATATTGCATAATTCGCCTGTCAGATTTGTTGTATTTAACCCATTGTTCTAGAAATAGAGTTTTATATTCCTTTTTTGTGCTTATTAACATATGAAGAAACTGTCATCATATGGGCATTAGATTCTAAGAAATGGATAAAAATAATCAAAATTGATGGGTATATAATAATTTCGTCTTGGACTGTATATACACACACACACACACACATATATATATATATATATATACATAGTAAAAATGACTGAGCTTCCTCCTCATAATGGTCCACTGACCATCATATATAAATAATCGAACTAAGGCACAATACTCATGGTCAGAAGATTACGGTCAAACATGAAACAGAGTGTCACGTCTTGTTGCTGACCTCAGTGTTCACTTCTATATTTATGATTTATACTTTTACACACACACACACACACACACACACACACACATATATACATATATATATATATATATATATATATATATATATATATATATATATATATAAAAGCTATCTTCTGCGGAGGACACATGATTGGGCCTAAGGCCCAACAATGACACTTCATGCATTGAGTACATATTAAATTTTATTAAACTTGAACAATATTTGACAAACAACAGTTTTCATCAAAATAATGAACAAACATAGAGCTGGCCGTGAGAAAAGCAGTCTTCTATCAGATGAAGTCCAGTCACTGTCAATGATTGTCTTTTGGACTTATTGATTGGCATTACATAGCTCACCCTCACTGGAAACTGAATTCTTTAAAATTAAATTAAGGGGATTCATGAAATTAGAACTCTTTCCTCCTTTCTTGGACTAGTAAGGATCTCTGCTTCCAAGAGATGATGAAGCATCTTTTTGACAATTGACCTTGTTCCATTACAAAGTTTTGGAGGATCCAGATTTTTCAGTAGCATAACTGGCACATTTTCCTTTAGTTCCAGCTTGTGTGATGACATTCTAAGAGGATTCAATGAGTTCAGGAACTCGATTGGATAATTCATTGCTTGCTCTTGTTCAACCACACTGTCAATGGAAAAGTACGTCTTTTGGAATTTCTAGGAGAATTTTCCACTTGATGCTATGAACATTTCATTCTTGGGAGCTAATATGGTCCTCTCACAAAGCCAGTTTTTTAATGTTTGGATAAACATGGTTAATCATGTCTTGGATACATTAAACTGAAACTCCATAACCATTTAAGAGGGAAATATCTCCACTTTGGTTCATTTTGATGGTTCCATTGTTAAACGAAGCAGCAAATCTTTCCGCTTCAAGGTCACTTGTGATTCTAACTCTCATGTTTGTTTTCATGCAGGATGAGTCTTTGAACATGACTCGAGGTGCGAGATTTTTCAGAGAGTTGTGTCCCTTTAATTGATAAAGTGTGACACACATAGAGATTTTCGCATTTATTATATTAGAAGATGGATAAAGAGGGTGAGGTAATTGACATTTAGAGAGTTGTGTCTCTTTAATTGACAAAATTTGACACACACTGACATTTTCGCATTTACTATGTAAGAAGATAGATAAAGGTGAGATAACTGAAAGTTAGAGAGTTGTTTCCCTTTAAATGAAAAGTGTGACACACTGACATTTTCACATTTATTATATAAGAAGATATATAAAGAAGTTTAGAGGGTTGTTTCTCTTTAATTGACAAAATTTGATACACACTGACATTTTCGTATTTATTATATGAGTAGATAAAGGTGAGATCATTTAAATTTAGGGAGTTGTTTCTCTTTAATCAAAAAACTGTGACTCATTTTCGTAATAATTATGATATATATACACACTGTATTTATTCATTATTTGTTATTGATTATTATTGTTGCATTTACCTGTATTATGTGTGTCTTCATAATTTGTTAATCTGTTGAATTTTTTTTCATTTGTTGTATTAGTTTATAGGATATTAGATAGTATCCCCCACAAAATGAAAATCTATAAACGACGCATTTCCCTGACATTTGTTGGTTTCTTCTTCTTTAGGTCAGAATGAAAGACAAAAATGTGTGTAAAGAAAATTCGTTGAGATTTTTGAGGATAATAGGCACCAATTAATTTACATTATCAGATCCGACCAGTTAGTGTTTATCTGCAG